GTGCGGGGCGTGCGGGGCGGGCGGCGCGGCCTCCGGAAGCGAGGGGGCGCTGTGCCAGGCGGCGGCTGTGCGGGGCGGGCGCGCTGCTCCTTCCGCCTCGCGAGCCCCGGAAGCGCACACGGCCGCCATGGCACGGAACGTGCTGTGAGTAGGGGTCGTCGCCCCCCGCCGCGGGGCGCCCCTCAGTGTCACAAGCAGACGGACCCCACAGGGCGCGCGGGCTCCAGGGAGCGGGGTGGGCGTCCCTGGGCCCCCTTCTGGCCCTGGCTCGGCAGGGTCCCCGGAGACCCGGCTCATGGCTTGGGGCACGCGAGGCGGGTGGCGGAGGAGGCCCCCGCCGGGTTTAGGGCAGCCTCGGGGAGCGGGCGTGGCCAGCCCGGGTACTGAGGGTCCGAGCCAAAGCCCGGAGGTCGCGGTGTCCCCGCAGGGGGACGGGCGGGGAGGCCCGGACGGGCCCCAGCTCACGCGGGGGCGGCCTGAGGCGGAGGGCCTGGGAGTCCAGATGGGGCCTGAGTGGGAAACAGCCGCTGACCGCAGCCCGCAGGGCTTTGGGGCAGGCAGGGCTGGAGACCCGGTTCTGCTCATCCCAGGCCTCCCATGCCCACTCTGCATCTTTTCTGGATTCTGGCGGTGTGGGCGGGGCATCAGGGCGCTGTCCTGCCCCGCTTCGCCCTCCCCAGTTGAAGCAGGAAACCCTACATGTTTCTTGGTGAAGGAATGGCTCAGGCGTAATCAATAGATGTGGGTTCCGCGTGGTTTCGGAGAACAGTAATCTGTTTTTGGAGAGCGATGTTCCAGCGGCCCTGCTGTGGCTCTGGGGTCCCCTGCACATAGCTGGGGAGAGAGGGGAGGGTGGCAGGTGGGACCCCGAGTGGACGAGGCTTCCCTTCAGCAGACATCTGGGACCCGTGTTGCACGTGGCCGTGACCCTGAGGAGCACCCAGGGCCAAGGAAGAGAGGGTCTCAGTGAGACCAATGCTGCCCTGAGCCTCATGTGAATTCCACGCTGGGCGTTCGCCTGTCGGGAGAATGAGGAGGAAATGAGGGTCAGACGACCCGGGCGGGGTGTTCCTGAAGGGCCAAGGGTGGTGGGCCGCTGGAAACGGGTGAGGTGTGGCTGCCCTGGAGGCAGTGGGGGCTGTGCACGACTCTCCTGTTGCCAGAGAGGCCTTGGAGGGAGCGCTGACTTCACTTGCTGTGGATGGGATGCAGCTGGGGTGGGGGTGCTGAGAGGGTGGGATCCTGGCTGCATCACCCGTGGGGCCGTGGGGAGGCAGGCTGGTGGCAGTGAGCCAGCTTTTTGTGTTTTGAGGAAGAACTGAGTGCAGAGTTCTGCTCGAGAAAGGTTGCAGTGGAGGTGCTTGTGAAATAGCATGGGGAGGGCTGGGTGCTCCCAGGTTAGTGGGACAGAGGGAACTGAGGGCTGCTGGGCCCACAAGGGTGCCAGTCCTCCAGAGAACCCTGTCCTGGGCCCAGGGTGTCGGCAGTGTGGATTGTTCCAGATCTGCAGGCCCCACATTGCAGACAGTGCCTGGGCTCCGGCCTGGAGTTCCCTTTGCTTGTGGCAACAAGGACAGTGAATCGTCGCGGCCCAACCCCTGCCGGCCTCTCACCTCAGGCCCTTCAGACCCTTAGTAAAGTGTGTCCTTCAGGCCTCAAGCCTGGACGCTCGAAAATGAATGTCCTGGGAGCTGCTGAACCCCTTTTCCCACTGTTTCCTGGGAGTCCTCAGGCATTCTACCCACCTGCAATCCCACAGCTGGTCACCAGAGGGAATGTGTGAGCCCCTGGGGTGGCCATGGATAGCCTGATCCTGTGGGTAAAACGAGTCAGGCCCCTCCACTCCCAGAGCCCACCCCTAAAAGCTGCGCTCCGAGGCTTGGAAGGCCAAGGCCATGCCCAACACGAGGCTGTGCTGGGGTTTGGGGAGTGAAGACTCGGCCCCACTGGCCAGCCACCGGGCTGCCATGTGTCAGTGTAGTCATCAGAAGGCTGGGGGTGGATACTTAGCGATTTGGTTTTGCTATACTTGCCTTGCTTTTGAGAGCCCCCAGCAGCTCCTGGCCCCTGCCAGGCCCCAGGCCCAGAGGCTCAGCCCTGCCCACCACTGTTGGCCCTTCAGGAGCACCACACCCAAGGCCTCTGACCCTCACTTCCTCTTCTTCCTCCCTAAACAAGCAGAGGCCAGCGTGAAATTCACATGAGGCTTGGGGCAGCATCGGCCTCATGGAGCCCTCTGTAACTTGATGCTGGGTGCTCCCCAAGATCAGGGCCATGGGCAGTGCCTCAGATTGGTCACCAGAGACCCCTAAACAGCCCCCTTGATCCCTCTCTACCAAGACCTGCACCTGGGCTCCCAGAACCTACATCTCCCGAGACCTTGCAGACCCCAGTTTCTCCTGTGCCCCTCCTCCCCCCAGCTCTGAGGCCCAGATAGAGCCAGTGTGTGCCGGCAGTGGCAGGGGTTGGGGGGCAGGGATGGTGCTGCCTGTCCGCCCAGCTGGACTTGGGAGAATGCACAAGACCACTTGGCTAGAGATTCTTCATGATTGTCGCCTGGCCCACCAGCCCAGGAGGAGAGCTGGTCTAGTTTGCAGTGGCCACTTGGCACCTCTCCAACTGCCACCGCTGGCTTTTATCCGGGTGATGGGGTGGGATGCCGTTGGTTCGTATTTAGCAAACTGAATCAAAGCCTGTTGGCAACACCACCTCCCAGGGGCCCAAGCCTGCTTGGCCTGTGCGCTCCGTTCCCGGGGAGCTGAGGCCTGCCCCCACCGGAGCGTGCGAAGCTGGCTTCCTGCCCCACGGCTGGTCCTCTCCACTCTACTTCACCTGAGCAGCAGGAGGGTGGGCTGGCTGCGTGGGGGCTGCTCCCCCAGGGGTATCAGTGCCCCAACGCGCGTCTTTGAGCCTTCCACCAGCTTGTTTGGGGGGATGCTGTCTGCCGGCTTCTGATTCTTGACTTGTTCATTGGCCCTTTCTAAAGTCTGGCCTTGGGGGTCAGAAGCCCATGCTTCCTGAGTCGATGCTGGGGACTGGCCGTCCCCCTGGGCAGGCCCATGTGAGAAAGGGGCTGTGGGGACCTCTGTGTCATCGGGTGGTGATCTGCAGATAGCTACCCCCTTTCCTGCCCATCCCTGCTGTGGGTGGACACAGGAGGGTCTGCAGGTTTGTCTCTCAGGCTGCCATGGCCTACGTGTGTGACATGGACCCAATCTCTTCTGTACAGGTACCCCCTGTACCAGTTGGGTGGACCACAACTCCGAGTGTTTCGAACCAACTTCTTCATTCAACTGGTGCGGCCCGGCACAGCCCAGCCCGAGGACACCGTGCAGTTCCGGATCCCCCTGGAGTAGGCCTGGGAGGGTTCCGGCTGGGTTAGGGGCATGCTCTGGGTTGGCGGGGGTGGGTGCAGGGCCTAAGTTAAACAGCCCCGCTCACATGCTGGTGCTCATCCTGCTGCGCAGGCGCCTGGGGCAGCCCTGCCCAGCCAGTGTTGATGGCATGCCCATAGCTGCAGAGCCTGGCAGGCACGTACACCCACCCTCTCCCTGGGGAAGGCATCACTGGAAACCTTAAAATTTGGACCTCTGTGCTCGTGCCTTCTGTTGAGTTCTTGCAACGTCTTTTTTGGAAAGGTGCCCTGGGAGGTTGGGTGGGGAGCAGTCCGTGACATGCAGAACCACTCAGAAGAGCCTCCTTGACCTTGGAAGAAATGGCACGGTCCCTGCCACCGAAGTTGGGGTGCTGCTGTGAAGCCCTTAAGATCACAGGTCCCTAGCTCAGTGTTGAGGTGAGCCAGGAGGGGCAGCGGCGTGAGCTCCCCTGAGGGCAGAAGGCAGGACTGTGCAGCCTGCAGAGACCCAGAGCTGAGTTGACAGTGCCCATGGCGTTCTCCAGTAGAGGAAATGTGCAGTTCACCCACTGAATCCCAGATAGGCCTTTACAGAAGGTGCTTCCTTCCTAGAACTGCAGAGTACCATCCACCGCAGAGCAGGCCTAACCCTGACGCTGCTGAGGGGCCCCAGGGCAGACGAGGTGGGGTGCCTGGCAGCCAGGGGCGTGCAGAGACTGCCACCTTCTCCCACAGGCACTTGCCTGAAACAGAGAGCCGTGTGGGCTGTGGAGCAGGCCAGGGGATGGTGGGGCAGTGCTTTTGCTCCTTGGGGTCTGTGCTGCTGCCACCCCGTGCTCGTGTGCCTGGAGCAGGGAGCCTTGCGGCCAGCAGCACTGGTGTTGCTGGGGCTGCCTGTCCCTGCTGGTGCTGCTGATGCCCCCAGCCCTCCTCTTAGCCTGGTTCAGGCCAAGCTAACCTTTTCTTTTTCCTTCGCCTCCAGAATGACAAGGGTGGACCTCAGGAATTACCTTGAGCGCATCTACAACGTGCCCGTGGCTGCCGTACGGACTCGGGTGCAGCACGGTGAGTGGCCACAGGAGGTTCTTGTGTCGTGCTCACCCATGCCACACACCCACATCGCCGCGCCACGGCCTCAGCCACTCCGTGGGAGTCTTGGTCTGAATTGGCTCATGGGAAACTAAGGCACAGGGTGACTTAGGTCACACAGTGTTTACCTGGCAGAGCGGGGATTGGAATTCACCTGTGCTGGCCGGAGCCTGCTCTGAGCACTGACTCCCCTGAGGTGGGCCTACAGCGGCCAAGGCTGGGCAGCTCTCTGTTCCATCAGCACCTGTGGTGTGCCCCGGCTGGCGCTGCAGCCCCGCCTGTGTGGAGAGCCTGCTGGCCCCTGGTGGGAGATGGGATGGACCCGCAAGCCTGCTGTGCCGGCCCATTTGATTTCAGTGCCTATTTCCCTGAGAAATTGCCTTTGTGAGTTTTTCAGAACACATTTGCATTTTTTAGAGAACAGAGATCGTTTTAGTGGCACTGGCCTCTGAGGCTGTACTTTTGTAAAGTTCTGATTTTTTTTAACTCCCTTCCAACAGGCTCCAACAAGAAAAGAGACCACAGAAACGTGAGAATAAAGAAGCCGGACTACAAGGTCGCCTACGTGCAGCTGGTGCGTGCGAGCGGGCCGCCCCGCCGGGCCCCCCAGGGGCTCCTTGCGACTGTGTCCTTGGGGGTGTTTGTGCTGCAGATGCGCAAACACAGGGGCCCAGGGAGCCCCCGCGACGCCAGATCTCAGGGCCGCAGTGCAGAGGCAGGCTCCCCGTGAGGTCATGTTCCCTCACGGCTTCGGGGGTGTCAGTGGTGGTGCGTGCGCACGTGAGTCCTGGGACGGGTGGGGCATGTCTCAGCCTCCAGCCATTTTGTGATTTTGGAGTTTGAATGCTCTCTGGACAAAGGTGGTCATCTCAGGCCTGGTGGGTTTTGGCTCCAACACAGACCAGGGTGTCTGAGTATGGGAGGCCCCCAGCCTCTGGAGAGCCTGTCCTTGGCCGGGTTTCAGACTCTGAGGCAGAGTCTGAGGTCCCTGAGGGCAAAGGTCTTTGGTGCCCAGGCTGGTGTGGCAGGCCGGGGTCTTGGCTGAGGATTGCAGGGCAGGCTGCTTCTGAGCAGGTGCTGTCTTGTGTATCCTGGCTGGGGCTCTGGGGAAGAAGGACCCCTTACCCCATACTGCCTGGGCCTTTTGTTTCTGAAACTCAGACTTGTCAAGAGTGAGACCGGCAGTTTCAAAGCCTTTTTTCGGGCCCTTCACTTTGAGTTCCAGGCAAACCCAGAGGCGCTTTCTCTCTCGGCCAAGTTGTGGACAGCCGGCACCGGACACCTCCGGGGCCTCTCCCCTGCGGTCAGGGCCGGCCTTACCGGGTGGGGATGGGGCTGTCTTCCGGTGAACCGTCCCTGGAGGCTGAGCCAGCAGCCCCTGCCGCTAGATGGCAGTCATACTATTGTGAAACCACCTCCCGCCAGCCCGCCTGTTTTGGGGCTGAGGAGGCAGTTTGTGAAGAAGCCAAGTTAGCATGGCAGCTTTTCTGAAAAACAGTCACATTTGTTGTTCTAAACAGGGGCCCCCGGAATAATTTGGCCTAATATTTGCTGTGCATGAAATTAGCCAATCCAGGTGAGGAGAGCAGCCGTTGGGCTCATAAAGGCCTCTGTGTGCTCCGTGCCTGCCGGGCCCATCTGTCTTTGTCATGGCATGTGGGTGGACATCCCATGTGCTGGCCTCGCCACGGGCACTTCAGAGGCAGCTACAGTTACAAGTGGCATTCGAGTCATCCGAGCCCTTGCGTGCTTCCTCTGGGCCCCACCTCCCATGAAAACTGAACCCAGCAGCCCCGGGATCCAGTGTCTGCAGCTGCTGCCTGCGTGCCGTCCCCCCTCCGTAAAGTCCAGGCAGCCAGAGATGGGGCCAGGCAGCTGGGAGCCTGGAGGGTCCCTGCCGGGAACGCCTCCCCCTGTTCCAGAATTACAATTTGTAATGGGTCCTCACCCCCTCCTAAGCCCCAGCAGATCTTCCCACGGCCTAGAAATGGGCCATGGCCATGGGTCCCTGTCCCCGCAAAGGGGACTCATAAGGACCTTTCCCGCCTTGTGTTACTGAGACCGTGCTCAGCGTGTCCCCCTGGGCCCTGCGCCAGAGCTTAGAATCACTGCTAATTGCGACGCCCAGGGAGGGAGCGTTGGAAAGATGAAATGATCCACTTTATTTGAAGTTGGCGGCTGTGGACAGGCCCTGTCCCACATGGTGGAAGTCCCACATTTTTTTCTCTGACAACCTGATAAGCATCTCCTTGGCCCAAAGTCCTGGGATCCGTAACCAGCTCTTAGTGACCCTCACAACAAAAAGTGCATTGACTGCCCGCCGCCCGAGGCTTGTGTGGACACAGCGGCACTGGAATGAAGGGCGCACGACATGAGAGGCGGCCGCTGGCTGGGCCGAGCTGTGGGCTCCGGCGGGCAGCGGCCCCCGGGGTGCCCTGGGGTTCCTGAAGGCAGGGCGGCCTTCTCCGCTTGTCATTAGGACATTTTTGTCCGTTCCTGTTATTTACTCCCGATCGGCTGTCTCTCTCTTCTTTGGAAAGATCAAGGGCTTTTTTTTGTAAGTACAAGGTGACTCTCTCTAGAAAAGGGGAATCCCCTGAGAAACCGCGCCTGGCATCCACAGCCGGCATTTGTCTCCTGTAAGAAATGGATTTTCTCTCACCAGCTTCCCCCATGTTTTCCTGAAATTGTGACAAACGGCCATGTTTGTGTTTTGAACTGTCATTTTGGATTCCCCTTGCCTCAGAAAACTGGCAGAACCACCTCTATATATTAAGGCAAATCCCCCGTTCTGGGCAGTAAGCCTCACATGTAAATGATTGCCCCTTGATATTTTAAAAAACGAAAAGCTGAGAGCAGTGTCAGGCAGTCCTCCTGCAGGCTGGCCACCGTGCACAGTGCCACGCTCCCCAGCTGCCCCCGCGCTCTTGCTGGGGATCAGGGTGTGCACACCTCCCTCACAGGGTGGAATCTGGGCCTGTTTCAGATCATACTTGGCGGCCTACCCACCTGCAAATTTATTTACACAGCAAGGGTCTGCCAGGGCCAGGTGCACTTGACTGATTTTACTCACTAAGGGGTCCCAGACTCAGGGCAATCCTCACTCCTCCTCTACCTGTCTGGAAACAGAAGGACATGTGCCCTCAGAAGTCCCGGTCTTCTCCTCCCTCTCCTCTGCTCTCTCTGCCTCTCGAGCCTTATCTTTGGAGCTACTTAGTAATCATTACAAGTTAAAGTGGCCCCTCATATTTGCTTAGGTCCCCAGAGAGCAGTATCCCCTCTTCTGGTGACCCCCAACCACGTGCTGCAGCCTGGGCTGGGGCTTGGCTGACGCAGACACATCCTGAACTCTCAGTGGAAGATGTAAGACAATTAATTGGCAGAGCCTGTTCTGATTTATCGGCTGCTGTACGTGTATGTTTTTTCATACGTGATGTTCATTTCTTGTACGTGATGTTCATTTTATTTGCCAGGCTCTGGGCTGGGAGGAGAGGAAGCTTTAATGTGGGTAGAGCCTGAGGCGTTTTAGACCAACAGGTTCAGCGTGGTACCAGACGTGATTTGTGTCATGTTCTTCTGTGCCTTGTCCCTGCCCCCCAGTCCAGCCAGGCGGCCCCGGGCTGCTGAATGGGTGCACCCAGGGCAGGGGCAGACAGCAGGCCCTAAAGAGACAGTGGTGGGGAAAGCGGCCCTGTCCCAGAGCTGCGCCCCCCGCCCTGCGCCCCGCTGCTGCATGACAGCCAGGCTGGTGGCTGTGGGGGTGCTTACTTTCCAGGCAGGGACGCTGCCCCAGGAGGCCCTGGGAGGTACCACTGAACTGTTGAATCAGGTGCTGGCAGAAAGGGGCTGCCAGAGAGCAGAGACTCCCCCACAGACCCCTGTGCTGAGCAGTCTTCGCAGCCCTGGCTGGAGCCTTTGTTCTCTCCCTCAGGCCCACGGACAGACCTTCACATTCCCGGATCTGTTTCCCGAGCAGAGCCCGGAAGGCAGCGCTGCCGACGACCTCCAGAGCATTCTCAAGGAGAACATGGAGCAGAGGCAGAGCAACGACCCTCGGCGGGGTGGCGTCCCAGACTGGTTCGGGCTGTGACGGGGTGGCCAGCAGGGACATGCCCCAGGTGGACACCACAGCAGAGCAGTCCCAACACCTAAATAAAAGTCTTGCTGCAGAATAAAGCCGGAAGCTCTGTTTCCTTCTGCTCTCAGGTCTCTGGGTGCCAGGCACACAGCAGCCACCCCCCAGCTCTGAGCGCCACGTGGCCCAGCTCTGCTCTCCCGGGTCTGGCAGTGGGCCGCAGCCGGGGTCTGTTCTATGCGTTGGCAGGCAACTGAGGGTGGGTAGGCTTGAGACAAGGTGGCTCCATGCTGGGGAGACGGGTTGGCTAGAGAGAGAGGGTCGCACACAGGCTCGGCGCTGCCTGCCAGGTGGGGAATGAGACACGTGGGTGAAAGGACCCAGAACCTGAGTGCCACATTCACAGCTTGAGCCCAGAGGCATAGGGAGGAACGGAAGGGTCAGTGTGAGCACGGGAGGCACCGGGTAAGAGAATGGCCCGGCCTAGGCAGAGGTTGGTCAGCAGCCCTCGGGGCCTGGAGAGAGAACCCTGGCCCACCTGTGGGTTTTGGTTTGACACAGTGGCAGCAAGGACCTGAGAAGGGCCGGGGAGGATCCGAGGGCAGCAGGGTCTCAGGAGAGCTGTGGCAGGAGAGGCGACGCCCAGTATGGAGGCCTAAAGCCCAGGGCTGGGCCTAGAAGACAGGAGAGACACGGGCTGGAAAGGTGGTTAGAGCAGGGGGCCACGTGTGGCCAGCAGTCACGGCAAAACAGTTCTGTGGGCTTCTTGGCCCTGGGGGTGGACGGGTTGGGAGAGGAGAGGGTGGGCTTGAGCATCCCATACAAGGTGGTTGGTGGCCTTTCAGCGTCTGGGTGGATGCTGGGGTCCAGACCCGCATTCTGCTGGCCCAGGGCAGGTCAGGACGTGCAGCCTCTGCCTCTGATTCTTGTCTAAAGAGTTTTGCGTGGAAGCCTGTGGCTTGCCAGAGGCCCTGTGCTGCCTCTCCTGGCCTGGCCTTGCCTGTGGGAGCAAGGGGGTTGCCCAGCCGCCGTTTTCAGGACTTGAACCTGGCAGACTGGCCTGGGTTCCCGTTCCAGCAGAGCTGGACAGGCCGGCTGGGGCAGCTTCCAGGGGCCCTGAGCTGGATACAAGTTTGATTTTTGGTTTTAACGATGTCTTATTCAGAACTTTCCAAGGAGCCTGGATGGTTTCCAGCTCCTCTTCCCAGAACCCTTGCATCGGGTGAGGCCCAGGGTCTCCAGAGCCCCTTCAGCCCAGCCTCCATGCACAGCTGGTGCCTCCTCAGGACGGGTTCCAGAGGCCTGGGGGCGCCTCTGTTTCTCTTAACCTGCCCTTGGTTCCAGTGCTTCCCTAGAAATCCCAACATGGAGGCCGGAGTGAGGCCCCTCCCTGCTCTGCAGGCAGCTCCGGCTTTGGGGTTGGGAATCAAGGCCAGAGTTTGGTGCTTATGAAGCGATCTGCACTCCACCTTGTCCGGGACGGAGCCGCACTCAGGCACCTGGGGGAAAGCCCCTGGCCACGGCCTTGTTCACACAATCAGATTTGCTGTGAAAAGCCTTCCCTTCGGAATGCTTAGGAGGACACGTGTGCCACGTGGCCTTAGGACCAGCAGCCTCTGGCTTCAGGTTGTAGAGCGCGGATCAGCAACGTGGGCCGGCTGTGGTCTGAGTGAGGGTCCTGGCTTCTCCTTGTGCTTGGGCAGCCTCTGAGGGGCTTGCAAGAGGAGATGGCGTGGCAGCTGGCTCACCCTCCCCTCCCCCAGCCCGGAGTGCAGGCAGGAGGGGCTGCGGCGGGGCCGCTCTCGGCTGGGGGGTGAAGGCCCGGGCAAGCTCACCCTTCAGTGTTGATTTAAAGGGATGGGGAAGGTCAGGAAGTGGAGCCGGAGAAATGGAGTCGACTGTATTTTCTTTAGAGAAATAATTCATGGGGCTGAGAGCTCAGAGGACCCTAACTCACGGCAGGGGAAGAGGAATCTCATCCTTCATCCGTGGCACGTCCAGCCCCGCACATGGGGGCCCTGAGCAGCCCTGCTGGCGGCCAGCGCGCCAGGCACACTCCATCACGGCCGCCACCCCCAGACGCAGCCCTAACTCTGGCTCCAGCCGCCCAGGCCTCCAGACCCTCCTCCCACCCCGTCTCACCCGGCCTGTGCTGTCCTCTGGCAGCCCCCGTTGTCTCCCACAGGCCTCCCTACCAGGGAGGAGAAAGGGGCTGGGGAGCTACTGCACCCCCATCTCCACAGCATGCCGGGGGCTCCCTCACCCCCAGTCCTCACCGGGTACCCAGCTGCACGGTGGCCCGCTGACCCCGGAGCCTTAGGGAGATTAGAGATGTAGGGGTCTGCCAAGGGCATGGCCTGGCCCAGTCGCAGGGAGTGCCCAGATGGGGGCACTCAAAGGGGAGCATGGCAGTGAGGCCGGGCGCGTTCCTTGAATGGAGGATGGGGACGGTGTGTGGCTGTCCAGTGTGAGACAGGGCTGCCGGTCCTCTGGGGGTAATTCACATGAAACCCCACTTTCTGGGTCGTTCACTTGACCAGTGGTTTCTGGTGTGAGCCAAGTGTCAGCACCAAAGCCCCCAGGTATCTGCCCCAGCCACATGTGGCCTACCCTCACCAGGTCAGTGGAGAGGCTCCCCAAAGCATCCACACCCACCTCGCATGCCTATTGCAGAGGGGTGAGGAACAGGCCGGGGCGGGCGGGTGGCCCCACTCAGGGTCTGAAAGGCTTGGACTCTCTCCAGGAGCCCTGCCGGCCGCACCCATGGAGCTCAGCTGGGAGCGCCCACAGGAAGGGCCCCTGGGGGGGCGAGATGCTCAGAGTTCAGGATGTGGGCCTCAGCCAGGGGTCTGCTCCCACCACCCAGGCACACTTGGAGCCCAGAGAAGGGGCTGGCTGGACCCGCCAGCTCTCATGACCCTCTCCTGCCTGGAGGCTCAGGGAGGGAGGAAGCTGCACCTGGGCAGGTCTGTCTCTTCTCCTGCACAAGGGCCCCTCTGTGGTGGCTTGTGTGCTAACACAGGCTCTTTCATTCATGGGGACCAGAGAGGGTCTCACAGGGTCCCCCTGGCCTGGGCGTCAACCTCACCAGCCCCACACCTGGGCAAGACCCTAGTCCAACCCAAACAGGCTGTTCCTGCAGAAGGAACTGTCACGGAAAGATTAATCTCCCAAGGCTGACAAGGCCACTCTCACTTGTGTCTGGACATACTCAGCATGGCAGAGGCAGGAGAGGGACCCTGACCCAAGAGATACCAAGTGAGCCTGTGGCTGTGCCTCAGTTGCCTCTAATGTGACAACCCTACCTCTTATGGATATCTCCAGCTGGGAGCAGGGTCGGGGGTAGCCAGAGACAGTGGGATGAGGGACAGTCAGCAGACAGCACTGCCCCATGCCCCATTTATGTTCGTCTGTTGCTGTGCAGGGGGGTAGGCAAGGTCCAGGCGGTGCCACACTGAGTGCCTGGGAAGGGGGGAGGGGCCCCCAGGCTGCACCGTGCTGTGCTCAGAGCTGGCTGGTCCCATGCCTCTGTCTCTGCTGATGAGTTACAGCCAGGGTGGGCCCAGCTCCTCCGCTGACAGGAGCGCCTGCCCCAGCAGCTCCAGGTAAGAGCCACGCTGCCGGAATGGCGCAGAACCCCCCTGACCACCCTCCCTCCTGTCGGCATCTGTTTCTCCTCTTCGGGAGCTGCTTGTGTTTCTGGGGGTGTTGATGGTGTCCTATCTCGAAATGGCCTCACTTCCGTACCTGGCTGCAGATGAGCAGCCGTGCAGGCGCTGGGGCAGGAGCGGGCTCTTCCTTTCCCAGGCTCCCCAGGTTCCTCCTCTGCCCTTCCTGCCCCCACCCACCTCCGGGGGCCCCTCCACCTCCAGCGAGCCAACACACGCCTCTCAGCCTGGAGCCTGAAGTCACAATCATGGTTGCCTGTCTGCACTGAGGGTTCCTGTCTTCTGGCTTCCAGCAAGGGACGCAGGCCATGGACACAGCGGTTCCTTCTGGTCCGCTCCAGGGCTTAGAGTGAGGACAGGCTGGAGAAGTCCAGCTCCTTGAAGCCAGCTGTAGTGGTGGCCATCTTGGGGCTCTCCTCCCACCTCCCACCTCCCACCTCCCACCTCCCACCGTTCATGCAACTGTCAACTGCATTAGCTGAGTGAATGAGTAAGTGAGTGAATGACCACCAGATTCAGGAAGTCAGCACGGCCAGGTGGGAAAGCCGGGCTGCGGTCCTCTTCCTCTGGGTTTGATGGGTGCTCCTGGCCAGGGCCTGGCTGAGTCTGGGTGGGTGGCATGGGCCGAGCACCGCCTGGCATCCCTCCCTGCCCATGGCAGGTCCCCTAGAGCAGGCGGCCTGTGGCTGCAGTGATCTGAGACAGTGTGGGCCTTGGGATGTACTTTTCTATTTTTAAAAACAGATTTATTGAGATGAAGTTCACACACCCCGCCATCCACCCATTCAGTGCCTTCTAGAATATTCCCAGAGCTGTGTGGCCCCGCTAGAACATTTTCATCACCCAGAAAGCAACCTGCCCCCCGAGCTGGGGCTCCCAACTCCCCACTCCCTCCTGCTCCTGGCTACGCCTGGTCTGCTTTGGATGGGCCTGTTCCGGATGTTTCGTGAGTGAACCACCCAGGGTCTGTGTGGCTTTTCGCGTCTGGCTTATTTCACTCGGCGTGGCATCCTTGGGGCGCACCCGTTGCCGCACGCACTAGGATCTCCTTCCCTCTGTGGCTGTGTTGTACTTCCCTGTGTGGACAGGCCCCGTGTTCATCCGCCATCCATCCGCGGGCACGTGGCAGCTTCCACCTTTAGGATCTCGTGAGCAAAGCTGTGGCACACGTGTGTGTGCACATTTTTATGTGGATGTGAGCTCGCCATTCCTGTTGGAGGGATCGGGCGCTTTCTTGACTGGGGCGTTCACGCGAGGCTGCCGTAGCCTCACTGAGGAAGCGATGCCCCAGGCCCTAATGGTGCCTGAGGGTGGCCAAGGGATGGGGCCGGCTCCACAGACATCCCCGCTGTGGAGCTGCAGATCGAGCACTCATGCAGGCGACGTCTTCCTGGGCTGCTTCTCATGAGGGGTGCAGTGGGGCTCCTGAGGGC